TTTTTGGGGGGGGTACCCCTTGTATAACCTAAAGAAGTTAAGAACACAACACGAACAGACATAGGTACACCTATGTCTATTGCAGCAATTTCAGCAATCGCAAACACAAGGAAACAGACAAAAACCCCAAGTATAGAGGAATGGCTAAACAGGCCCCAGTACCTTCATAGTATAGAATTTTATGCATCAATAAAAAACCGGGATAACTTCCTGAAACACCGAGAGATGTGGAAACTAAAGAAACCAGAGAACATTCTTCTCAGCAAACGGAGTCAGTCTTACAAAGATGAAGATCCGATCTCACTATTGTCATAAGAAAAACAGAGAAGAAGAAAGGTGGGTTAGACATCAAGAGACAAGACTCTGATGACCACAAGGAGGCCAGGGATGGGGAGAGGGGAAGGACGGTCGTGGGGAGTGTGCCAAAAATGGAGGGTTTAACAGGATATTGTTATTGATTTCATCTATTGGGCTACTTAATATACATCTATGTAATGTTTTTGTTTGTTTCTTAAAAAACAAGCAAACCAAAAAATCCATCCAGTTTCCTTATCTCTCAAACTTTAATAGTGGTTTGAGTAGCTTAACAAAAAAATAAAAAGGAAACTGGAGATGGGCTCGGAGTCTATACGGACAAACAACTTCATCTCAAAGAAACAACCAGCAAACAGAGCATTTGCAACATCTCATCGGGAGTCAACACTCTCAGTGACAGCCACATACGGCTGTTATTCACATCTGCATCCCAGGCACTGATACCAAGGGCTCTTATCCTTGAAAGAGAGTTTTACTGAGCACAAAATGATAGGATGATGATTATGTTTCCCTCTCAGCACAGAGAGAAACGGCCCCACCGTCTCCTGGCTTCCCTTCTGCGGCTCAGAGGTCAAGGCAGCCCCGGACGGTGCTGCAGTCTGCTGCCTCGCGCGCGCGCTGGCTGCTTTGAAGAAGGACCTCTTTGCTTTTGATGTTCTGCAGTCGAATCATCATGTATTTCTTTCATGTATGCCGTCATCTGTCTTAGAATAGATTTATTTTGGTTTATCCTGAGACTCATTTGAATTCTCATGTCTGGGGGAGGATTCTCTACGATTTTCAAAATCTCGCAGCCATTATCTTTTGAGATATTGCCGCCGCCTTCTTCTGAAGCTGTGATTCGGAACATCTCGGGCCTCCTCCTCAAGGCTCTGACCCTTTCTTACGGTTTCTCTTTGGTGTCTCTCTGGGCTGCATGGAGAATCATTGATTTCTATTAACTATTTCTTGATTCCAGTTCACAGACACCTATCAGAAGAGTTCCGCCTGCTCTTTAATTGGTCTTCTATATTTCCAATCTCACCTTCTCCCGCTCATTGATTCCGGCGCCATTTTTTCTCCCTTCCCATTTTAACATCGTTGGGTGGTGTTAAAATGAGGACACACCTGAGACCCACAGATCATCTTGGCAATTATCACTGGCGGTGTTTTTTGATCAAACGATGGCATATTTTATAATCAATGGCACTGCCAGAGCCAACAAAATAGGGCTCTTCATTTTTTCAATCTTCAGTTTTATTTGTCTTTTCTTTGAGCCCAGAGGACTTGGATTTCTCATCTATTTCAGAACTCCTTGTTTTGCTTCTTCACGCCTGTAGAACATGCTAGTGTATCCTTGGCGTCAGACACGAAGAGCGTCGCAGTGGGTTTCTGCTGCTGAATTCTTCCTGCTGGTTCTCGCGCATTGTGCAGTACGGCCTGTAAGCCAATCACTTTCCTTGGAACTTTATCCGTGGCCATCCTTGGGGTCTGAGTGGAAGCCGAGTTCCTCCAGAGAGGAGTTGTGTTTACTTCTGTGAGTTGCCTTCAGAGCATTCCCCACCTGAGGCCACTCAAAACGATTCCTTCGAGACGGTTGGGGTTTTTTAGGGGGAGGGTGGGGGGCAGGCGGGGACTTCACAGACGGCGTCGATTTAGGCCACACAGACCCATGTGGGAACTCGATCCTGGTTATGAATTCTCGGGGGGATGTGTTTCCCTGCACCCCTCAACACCAGGGCTGTAGGTGTCAAGGTTCCTTACTGTTTCCTCTTGCACACGATCTTATTTCCTTGGTCACGTCACCGGGAGGGTCTATTCCAGCAGGATCGCCTCTTTGTGCCTCTGTGTGTGGAGTCTCCCAGGACTTGGGTGAGCTCCAGGCTTTATTTCTTGATCCCCGGGCCCTTCATCAACCAGTAGGATGGTCAAGGACCCCTGGGCTCAGAGAGATCCCTAGGGGCCAGTTCACTTGCTGCGCACACATTCTTCCTTGATTTCTCTTTGGGCCTTACAGGTGGGGACATGTGGGAAAAATCATTCAAACATTTTCTCCAGTGTTTTACTTGTTCCATCCGGTCACCCACCGGTAGGACATCAGAGTCTTCTAACCAAGTTTCCCTAGGAAAGCCCTCATGTCCCTTCAGTCTATAGCAGCGGTCCTCAACCTGGGGGTTGAACGACCCTTTCATAGGGGTCGCCCGATTCATAACAGCAGCAAAATGACAGTGATGAAGTAGCAATGAAAATAATGTTATGGTTGGGGGTCACCACCACATGAGGAACTGGATGAAAGGGTCGCCGATGGCTTCACCTTCCTCTCGGGCAGCTGGTGGATTTGAACTGCCAACCTTTCAATGAGCCGCCCAATCCTTACCCCAACCGTGTCTTCAGGGCTCCTGTCTACAGACTATCACCTCCCGTCTTCGTGGTCCCGCGTGCCTTTCTCTGTAGCACACCTACCGGCTATAGTCTTACATATCTTTGCATGCTCTTTGAATTAATTGTCTACTTACCCCATTCGAAGCGTAAGGGGGCCAGGCCTCCTCGTTATTTTAGTCCCAACCTTACTGCAGTGCTTGACATTCGGTAGCTACACAGGATTAAAGAGGACCTCTGAGTGAGAGAGAAGCCAGTACTAGTTTGAGGCCAAGCTCAGCAGGGCCTCTCTGCCTCCGACTTGGCCACTGGAGGCAGTGCTTTTTGGGCCGGGACTTTCCAGCCTGGTAGCCGGGCCCCTACGTGCGGCTATTTAAATCATGGAGCTTAATTAGAATGAAACGGCAACGACCAACTCAATCTTTCCGTTGCGCTCTCACCACACTTCAAGTGGCTGAGTGGCTGCCCTCTTGGGCACCGCAGCCATAGAACGTGCCCATTGTCACAGAAGGTTCTGTGGGCAGGTGTTGCCGTAGAATCGTCAACAATCCCTAAGGGCTCCTCTTGCTGCCTCCCTCGCGCTTCCCCTTTCTTTTTGTTCTCACTCTCGCTCGCTCGCGCTCTCTCTCTCTCCCCTCTCTCCTAAACCAAGGACAAGGGTAGCTGTCTCATTCTTAGTTGACAAAAAAAAAAAAGAAAGGTTGGCTTTTGAACAAGAGGATGCTGGGTACTTTGGGTGACTCGCGCCGCCCCTCACTTTCCTTCTCAAACTTCCGAGCCCTTGTTCACCGGTTCTCTCATGGAAGTAAGATGCTACTGGGGGCAGAGCATAATAGCTTCTTTTTCTAGTTTCTTACACCCTCCGCCCATGGTGCTGTCGGAGTGCTGCCCCCAGTCAGGGCTCTAGGAGAGTCTGGTCTGTCTGAAGAGCTGAGCCATCCAATGATGGAGTAGGGGCTGCCTGACTGCTCCCGCAATCGGAGACCTCCTCTCTGGACATGCACGGCCAGCTGCTAGGCCTCGCTGGGGCAGTGTGTGTGGGCAGGGGGCCTTCTGAGACACGCTGCGACTGTCAAGTGGCCCTTTGTTGACGTCCTTTGTGGAACCAGGTCTGCCTTGGACTCTGCTCCTGGCCCCTCTCCTCCTTGGACATTGCTCCTGGCCCCTCTCCTCCTTGGACTCTGCTCCTGGCCCCTCTCCTCCTTGGAC